TCTGTCCCCCCAGGCTAAAGTGCCATGGCAAGATCTTGACTCACTGTAACCTCCACCTCCCAGATTCAAGCAATTCTTCTGCCTCAGCCTCCCGAATAGCTGGGATTACAGGCATGCACCATCACACCCAACTAATTTTTGTATTTTTTTTTTTTTGAGATGGAGTATCGCTCTTGTTACCCAGGCTGGAGTGCAATGGCATGATGTCGGCTCACCGCAACCTTCGCCTCATGGGTTCAGGCAATTCTCCTGCCTCAGCCTCCTGAGTAGCTGGGATTACAGGCACATGCCACCATGCCCAGCTAATTTTTTTGTATCTTTAGTAGAGACGGGGTTTCACCATGTTGACCAGGATGGAGATCTCTTGACCTCGTGATCCACCCACTTTGGCCTCCCAAAGTGCTGGGATTACAGGCTGGAGCCACCGCGCCAGGCCTAATTTTTGTATTTTTAGTAGTAATGGGGTTTCCCCATGTTGGCCAGGTTGGTCTCAAATACCTGACCTCAGGTAATCCACCCACCTTTGCCTCCCAAAGTGCTGGGATTACAGGCATGAGCCACTGTGCCAGGCCAATATATAGACCATCTCTTAACGAAAACTCAACTGGTAATAGATGTTGCCCCTGGGGAGGGGAACTACATGGCACAGGGATACTGGTAAGAGAGAATTTTATTGTATACCTTTTTGAGCCATTTTATGGTATTTTCCAGTTTTTAAATTATAACAAATTTTAAATATTTTTTATTTGCAGCTCTGATTTCACTCTTTTCTTTTTTCTTAGAGGTTTCGACTTCCTATGAGATCTAAACAGAAGCTACTCTTGTCGACTGGGTTTTTTTCCCACCCCCCACAGGGTTTAATTTCAAAGGCAAAGGTGTACTGGTAAATGTTTAACACTGGCTCCCTAAGTAGTTTTGCTTTGAATATTGGTTGGCATTTTTGTTTATGTTAATGAAGAAGATAAAAGCAAAATAAGGAAGACACATATCAGAACTTCATTCATCAAGGATGTGAGCAATTTGTTTGCTAAATTGTGTAATGGTTTTCAAATACTAAAAAAATTTTCTTGTTTTTTGTGATAGTCACAATGTAATTTGTAGCTAGAGATTACAGATTTTAAATTATTACCATTTTCTCTATCATGTTCTTAAGTCTAGACAATCAACAAAATAGTAAATTTCACTTTGGGTTATGTCTTTTGACAAATTCCATCATGTAAATAGTCCTACCAAGGTTGATTTTGAGCTCAATGTTATATCACTGAATGTAGAATTCAGAAGAAACAAAGTAACTTTAAAAGCCTAAGTGTTAGCAAAATGCCATAAAATAATTAGAAAGTAATGAGTTTTTAGAATGTTTTCTACACTATTTTTAAAAATATATTTTATTGAAAGTTTATATTATTTAACTTGTAAAACTGTGCTTAGCTTTTAAAAATGTAACAAGCAGCTCTTGTGAGCCTGCACAAATAAGCTCCAACACACTCCTGGTCCTGTGGAAGAGAAGGCCACCTTTGGCTGATAGCATATTCCAGAATATTTTCCTAATTTCCCTATGGTAGGAGCATATTAGGAATGAATTTAAATAAAATGGTACTAGCATTTAACTGACAAGAACCTTCTGACTTCGCCCTGAATAAAGAGAAATACTTAATAATTCTTGTTGATCAAAAATCAAATCTCAATACCAAGCAGTTGAAAGAACAAGAGGGCAAGAAACAAAGAGAGAAAAAAGAAGAGAGGAAGAGAGAGGTGCCCTAGTGTTCCTTTCAGCTCAAATATTGTAATAATTTAAGGTTCTATGTTCCAAGTACTGTCTTTGCACTTTAGACGTTACTTGGCTTCTAAGAGTCTTCATTTCTTCACCTGTAACATGGGGAGAAATGAGATGGTTGTGAGGAAATAAAATGATGGCGGTTCATCAGAAACAACCCAATGCCCATCAGCAGGTGAATGAATAAGCAAATTTTGATTTACCATATGATGGACTCTTATCCAGCAACAAAGAGAAACGGACTCTACATACACACTTCATGGGTAAATATCACACTTTAACTTGAGTGAGTTAAAGAAGCCAGACCCAAAAGGCTATACATACTGTGTGAATCATTTCTATACAATTCTAGAAAATGCAATGAAACATATGGTAACAGAAAGCAAATACGTGGTTGCCTGTGGGGAGGAATGGGAAGGAAGGATGACAAAGGAATACAAGGAGACTTTGGGAGATAATGAAATGTTTGTTATTTTGATTGTGGTGTTGGCTCTACGTGTCAGAATTTATCTAACTGTATCCTTTAAATAGTGCAGGTTATTGTATGTCAATTATACTTCAATAAGCTATAAAAGGTAGGAGGAACCAAAACACAGTTTTTTACTCCATAATTTTGAGTTCATAGTGAATCTTGTCATTTAAGAAGTCACTGAGAGTTATGAATCCATTTTCCTTAGCAACATTATCCCACTATGAAGGGAATGCAAAGTTTTCAAATAGTTTGTGTTCTTACCATGTCTCATGAGACCAAGTCACAGGCAAAGGATCATAAGCTACCATGTTTCAGACACTCAAAGACTAGCAAGCTGTAGTGTGTGTTCATTGTTTCAATTCATGTCTACACACTCTGAGTTCTTCTCTTTTCATGGTGTTGCCCATCTTTACACCAGTTTAGCAGTTTTGCAAACTGTTATTTGCCAAAAGCACAGACCTAGTCTCTAGAAAAAGGAAAAAAACAAAACAAAACAACAACAACAAAAAAATATACGACTAGCTTAAATGACAAAATTGGCTGTAGTCAGTGTTTCTATTAAAGGTCCAGTAGAGATAGGTAGATAGATAGATGAGATAACTTTATATTTTTGAAGTTATATACAAACATGGTACATATTTAAATATGAAACAGTATGTGGGAGAAACCTGAGTCATATACCCCTGTCATTTATGGCCATTCTCTAATGGTGACCAATGTTAAGAGATTTTTTTTTTAATTGCATTTTAGGTTTTGGGGTATATGTGCAGAACATGCAAGATAGTTGCATAGGTACACACACACATGGCAGTGTGTTTTGCTGCCTTCCTCCCCTTCACCCACATTTGGCCTTTCTCCCCAGGCTATCCCTCCCCAGCTCCCCCACTGCTGTCCTTCCCCTATTCCCCCCAATAGAACTTAGTGTGTAGTACTCCCTTCCCTGTGTCCATGCGTTCTCATTTTTCATCACCTGCCTATGGGTGAGAATATGTGGTATTTCATTTTCTGTTCTTGTGTCAGTTTGCTGAGAATGATGTTCTCCAGATTCATCCATGTCCCTACAAACAACACAAACTCATCATTTTTGATTGCTGCATAATATTCCATGGTATATATGTGCCACATTTTCCTAGTCCAGTCTGTAATCGATGGGCATTTGGGTTGGTTCCAGGTCTTTGCTATTGTAAACAGTGCTGCAATGAACATTCGTGTGCATGTGTCCTTATAGTAGAATGATTTATAGTCCTTTTGATATATACCCAGTAATGGGATTGCTGGGTCAAATGGAATTTCTATTTCTAAGGCCTTGAGGAATCGCCACACTGTCTTCCACAATGGTTGAACTAATTTACACTCCCACCAACAGTGTAAAAGTGTTCCTTTTTCTCCACATCCTCTCCAGCATCTGTTGTCTCCAGATTTTTTGATGATCACCATTCTAACTGGCGTGAGATAGTATCTCAATGTGGTTTTGATTTGCATCTCTCTAATGACCAGTGATGATGAACATTTTTTCATATGTTTGTTGGCCTCATGTATGTCTTCTTTTGTAAAGTGTCTGTTCATATCCTTTGCCCATTTTTGAATGGGCTTGTTTGTTTTTTTCCTGTATATCTGTTTGAGTTCTTTGTAAATTCTGGATATCAGCCTTTTGTCAGATGGGTAGACTGCAAAAATGTTTTCCCATTCTGTTGGTTGCCGATTCACTCTAGTGACTGTTTCTTTTGCCGTGCAGAAACTGTGGAGTTTCATTAGGTCCCATTTGTCTATTTTGGCTTTTGTTGCCAATGCTTTTGGTGTTTTGGTCATGAAGTCCTTGCCTACTCCTATGTCCTGAATGGTTTTGCCTAGAGTTTCTTCTAGGGTTTTTATGGTGCCAGGTCTTACGTTTAAGTCTTTAATCCATCTGGAGTTAATTTTAGTGTAAGGTGTCAGGAAGGGGTCCAGTTTCTGCTTTCTGCACATGGCTAGCCAGTTTTCCCACCACCATTTATTAAACAGGGAATCCTTTCCCCATTGCTTGTTTTTGTCAGGTTTATCAAAGATTGTATGGTTGTAGATATGTTGTGTTGCCTCCGATGCCTCTGTTCTGTTCCATTGGTCTATATCTCTGTTTTGGTACTAGTACCATGCTGTTTTGATTACTGTAGCCTTGTAGCATAGTTTGAAGTCTGGTAGTGTGATGCCTCCCACTGTGTTCTTTTTGCTTAGCATTGACTTGGCTATGCGGGCTCTCTTTTGGTTCCATATGAAGTTCATGGTGGTTTTTTCCAGTTCTGTGAAGAAAGTCCCCTTGATGGGGATAGCATTGATTCTGTAAATTACTTTGGGCAGTATAGCCATTTTCATGATTTTGATTCTTCCTAACCATGAACATGGAATGTTTCTGCATCTGTTTGTGTCCTCTCTTATTTCATTGAGCAGTGGTTTGTAGTTTTCCTTAAAGAGGTCCCTTACGTTCCTTGTAAGTTGTATTCCTAGGTATTTTATTCTTTTTGTAGCAACTGTGAATGGCAGTTCGTTCTTGATTTAGCTCTCTTTAAGTCTGTTATTGGTGTATAGGAATGCTTGTGATTTTTGCACATTGATTTTATATCCTGAGACTTTGCTGAAGTTGCTTATCAGTTTCAGGAGTTTTTGGGCTGAGGCAATGGGGTCTTCTAGGTATACTATCATGTTGTCTGCAAATAGAGACAATTTGGCTTCCACCTTTCCTATTTGAATACCCTTTATTTCTTTTTCTAGCCTGATTGGCTAGAATTTCCAGTACTTGGAGGTGTGATAGTGCAGCAGCTCAGACAGGCAGCATAAGTTAGTGGAATCCTCGTGAATTCCAAGCTTGAGATTTTTAGAGAATGCCTCATAGAATTTCTTATAATTCTCCTTGTCTTCCACCAGCTCAGAGAAGAGCTCAAGGCACTTCTTAACAATGTTTTTGCAAATGACTTTCAAGATTTTGCTCTGCTGGAGCATTTCTCAGGAGATGTTCAGAGGCAAATCCTCAGAGTCAACCACACCATGGATAAAGTTGAGATACTCTGGTATCAACTCATCACAGCTGTCCATGATGAATACACGATAGACATAGAGTTTGATGTTGTTCTTCTTCTTCTTGTTCTCAAAAAGGTCAAAGGGAGCCCGATGAGGAATGAATAGCAATGCCCTGAATTCCAACTGACCTTCTACAGAAAAGTGCTTGACTGCCAAGTGGTCTTCCCAGTCATTGGTGAGGCTTTTGTAGAATTCTCCATACTCCTTTTGAGTGATGTCATCAGGGTTTCTAGTCCAAATAGGCTTGGTCTTGTTGAGTTCTTCCTGATCAATGTATTTCTCTTTAATCTTCTTAGTTTTCTTCTTCTTATCCTTACCACTGTCATCCTCCTCGTCTGAACCCACATCTTCAATCTTGGGCTTTTCTTCATCATCTTTATCTTCCTCTTCTTTCTCACCTTTCTCTTCCTCCGCCTCATCATCACTAATTTCCTTCTCTCGTTCCTTCTCCAACTAAAGGGTGATGGGTTAGCCTATGAACTGAGAGTGCTTCTTCACTACTTCTTTGACCCACCTTTCTTCTAAGTACTCTGTTTGATCTTCTTTAAGGTGGAGGATCACTTTGGTACTCCTGCCAATGGGCTCACCATGGTCAGCACGCACAGTGAAGGAACCTCCAGCAGAAGACTCCCAGGCATACTGTTCATCATCGTTGTGCTTTGTGATCACATCCACTTTCTCTGCCACCAGGTAGGCAGAATAAAAGCCAACACCAAATTGCCCAATCATGGAGATGTCTGCACCAGCCTGAAGAGCCTCCATGAATGCTTTAGTACCAGACTTGGCAAAGGTTCCCAAATTATTTATGAGATCTGCTTTGGTCATGCCAATGCCTGTGTCTACCAAAGTCAAGGTACGTTCCTGAGGGTTGGGGATGATGTCAATTTTCAGCTCTTTACCACTGTCCAACTTGGAAGGGTCTGTCAGGCTTTCACAGCGAATCTTGTCCAAGGCATCAGAAGCATTAGAGATCAACTCCCGAAGGAAAATCTCCTTGTTGGAATAGAAGGTATTGATGATGAGAGACATGAGTTGGGCAGTTTCTGCCTGAAAGGCAAAAGTCTCCACCTCCTCCTCTCCATGGTGCACTTCCTCAGGCATCTTGAAAAGAAAGGCTCACAGGTATTAGAAAGCAAGGTTGGCTGGCTGTCCAACATACACACGGCACAAGAGCAGCGCCGGAGTGACTCGAGAGACCAATGTTAAGAGATTTAACGAACTTTCTATATATACATGGAATTATGCATTTCTATATTCTTCTCCTTCCCCATTATAAAAAAAATAATGAGCACTTTGGTAGGCCAAGGCAGGTCAGATCATGAGGTCAGGAGATTGAGACCATCCTGGCTAACATGGTGAAACCATGTTACTCTACTTAAAATACAAAAAACCATCTCTACTTAAAATACAAAAAACTAGCTGGGCATGGTGGCACACACCTGTAGTCTCAGCTACTCGAGAGGCTGAGGCAAGAGAATCGCTTGAACCTGGGAGGTGGAAGTTGCAGTGAGCTGAGATCGTGCCACTGCACTCCAGCCTGGGCAAGAGAAAAAGACTCTGTAAAAAAAAACAAAACAAAACAACAAACAAACAAACAAAACTCAGCAATCTGTGTTTTAACAAGTCTTCCACATAATCCTGATGCACACTGAAGTTTGTGAACCACTGACATTTATAAACTGAATTATGTCCCTCACCAAATTCTGTGTTGAAGCCCTAACCCCCTATGTGACTGTAATCGGAGATTACAGAGATAATTAAGGTTAAATGAGGCTGTAAGAGTGGGGCCCTAATCCCATAGGCATAGTGTTCTTAAGAAGAAAGAAGAGGCCAGGCTGGTTGGCTCATGTCTGTAATCTCAGCACTTGGAAGGCTGAGGTGGGAGAATGGCTTGAGGCCAGGAGTTTGAGACCAGCCTGGGCAACAGAGGGAGACTCTTTCTACAAAACTAAAAACTAAAATCAAAGAAAAAGAGGAAGAGATAGCAGAGATTTCTCTTTCCACATGAAGGAAGGCCATGAGAGGACACAGTGAGAAGGAGATGTCTACGAACCAGGAAGAAACCAACCCACCTCTGGCACCTTGATCTTGAATTTCCAGCCTCCAGAACTGTGAGAAAATAAGTTCCTATTGTTTGAGCCACCCAATCTGCAGTATTCTGTTATGAGAGTGAATGCACACTAATATTTCAACCTTACATAATTATATCCTTCTGGCTTTATCAGTTGTGAAAGGTGGACATCTTCGTCCAAAATTCCCAAGGCATGAATTACAAAGCCTTGTTCTGAGCTAGAAATGAGGATGAGGGGTGGGAAACAAGGAACAAATAAAGGGAGAAAACCCAGATGACATTTCAATTGGTCATCCCAGCTCGTGTATTATTCATTTACTACTTGAGACTATAAAATATATAAATTTATAATATCTCAAACTTGTGAAATCTCACCACTCATAGATAACTACTTGACATTGATATATCACTGAAGGCAATGGGACATTTTAAATTTTTATTTAATAGTTTTTTATGATAGATACAATATTTTCTTTTCTTAACAATGATCCTGCCTTATATAATTTTGTATCCGTATTTTTTTACTAAAGAATATCTAAAGCATTTTCCCCATGATGGGGAGGAAGTTAGATCCACCAGTTGGTGAGGAGGAGAGGAGGTCACAAAGCTTTGGAGATGGGTCTTGAAGATGAACCAGGGTCTAGGCTGGATTTGTAGTTGTCCAAAATAGGCAGGCAGCTCTGAGCAAGCCATTCTGAATCTAGGGGAAGTTACACACTTGGAAGTCGGTGGGAAGTTGGCCTTATACTGGCACATCCATCCTAACTTTGCAGGACCCTTCTTGGTCAGCTATGGAGTTCAGGAGCTGGGTCCCAATTCAGGGAGAAAGAGTGGCAATAGCTAGGTAGGGGTACCTGTCCCAGGCCTTAAGGATGCTTATTTACGGGTAAGGTGGCTGTGAGAAAAGAAATAAGGAGAAAGAAGGAGCTAAAAAGAGAAAAGAAAGATAGAGCTGCAGAGACAGAGAGACAGAAACAAAGAAACTCCTGGATACCATTTCCAGTCACACCCACCAACATCCACCCCTGATTAGCCTAGACTTAGTCTAGGCTGAATTAGGAAAGTAGTGGTAGGGATGGAGAGAATGGAGTGGATTCCAGAAATAATCTGTAGATAAAATTGGTCTAACATGGTGACTGGTGGAGAAGGAAAGGGAAGAGTACAAAGAAGTTTCGCAACCTTCTCTGCTAAGAATAATCTGGAAGACTTGTAGGCCTACAGAATTACCAAGCCTGCCATGGATATTCTAATTTACTAAGTCCGAGGCAGGGCTCAGGAATCTATGTCATTCTTACTGTGGGAAGAACGACTTCTGGGTCTCTGGCTTAGGTGCTTGGATAGCAGTAACATAATTAACTGACTTCAGTTTTAAAGATGTTGAGTTTAAAATGCCTTTGGAGCATCAAAATAATGGTGACTAAATCTGTTGAGTGTTAACCTTAAATGCACTATTTAATTTAATCCATGTACCAGTCTTCTGAGGGAATTGCAGTAGTATTGCATTCACTTTGCAAGTGAAGAAACTGAGCTCTAGAGACATTGAATTATTTTTCATTATTTAGATAGCTATTAAAGGGCAGATTTGGGTTTTAAACTTAGGCACATCTTATCGCAAACCCTTTAGCCTTTTTAACTATGCTTTACTCGTTATACCCTTAGGTGGTAATACCTGAGTCAAATTACAGGTTAGAGCTGAAGATGTTTGAAAACAAAATTTGTTTCAGATTTCCCAAGGAAGCCTGCAGAAAGAGGAGAGTATTGGGCCAATGATGGAGCTTTGTTCCTTTTGGAAAAGATGAACAGAGGAAAAGGTTTTGAGGTTCATAGAGATTCAAGGAGAACCAGGAGACAGGTGTCTTACAAACTAAGCAAGTTGAATTGCCAGAAAGAGGGAATTTAAACTCATCAGAGAGTTCCAGTAGAATAAATTATCCATTGACTTTGGCAACTGGATATATATATATATATATATATATATATTTTTTTTTTTTGAGACAGAGTCTTGTTCTATTGCCCAGGCTAGAGTGCAGTGGTGTGATATTGGCTCACTGCAACCTCTGCTTTCTGGGCTCAACTGATCCTTGTGCCTTAGCCTCCGGAGTAGCTGGAATTACAGGTGTGTGCTACCATGTCTGGCTAATTTTTGTATTTTTAGTAGAGATGAGGTTGGCCAGGTTTAGTAGAGATGAGGTTGGCTGATCTTGAACTTCTGGCCTCATGTGATTTGCCTGCCTCAGCCTCCCAAAGTACTGGGATTACAGACATGAGCCACCACACCAGGCCTAGGGTAGAATTTTTGATCTTTGCCCAGGAAGGTGTGGGGAGAATCCCAGTCTCTGAAGATTAAGGAGTGAAGAGATGAGAAAATGGATTGTTAAATTAAAAAATTACTCAATGATACTTGTTAAAGATGGTAGGAAATACTTTATTCAGGACCATTATAATAGACTTTATTCAGGCACCTCTACAATGTGGTCTGCAGGGAGGGAGAGACGTTGGTCTCAACTCCAAGTTCAGCATGGACAAGGGAATTTATAGCCAAGGAACAGGGTGGGGGTCAGTGGATGGGAAATTACTAAGAAGAAAAATCAGGGGATTCTGACTAAACCAACCTAAGAGGATTCTTGCTGAAGTCAGGCCAGAGTGACCAGGCATCAACCTAGGGGTTGGTGGAGGGTGAGGAACACATCAGATATAAAGGGTGATCAGATTTTGGGTGGTGTGGAGGGAGGGGAGGTCTTGCTAAACTGACTTAGCAGGGCTCTTTGCTAAAACCGGGTTTTACGTGGAAGTACACCACAGATAGGCCTAGGAGAAGCTTCAGATACCTAATTAAGGTTTAATCAAGCAAAGAATCTTAAGGAGACAGTGAATGTACACCAGTTTTCCAAGGGGCTCAGTTGTAACAGAACAATTCTGGAAAGTTATACATTTGTTAACTGCACTCATCTCTAAGTAATTCGATTATTACTTCATTTCCTGGCTTCATTTTTTCTCCCTGTGGCTGAAGGATGCCTTTAGCCTTAGGAACCATTGTTTTGGTTGAGAAGGGGCAGGGCTGGAGAAGGGGCAATTTGTGGAAAGCAAGGTTTCCCTTATGTAGCCTGTGGTAGATGGGAGGAAATAAAATGTGGTCTTACTTTCACCTGGGAGCAGAAAAGCTAAGGAAACTAAAAAGAACATGCAATATCTTTTTTAAAACATGCACTTTCAACTTTTAAAAGTAACCATGTATTGATTATAAAATTTTTCATAGGAAACTTGTTTAAGAACAAGTTTGAGATTCAAGGTCAAAAAGGACGTAAAGCCATGACCAGAGGGGCTTTGTTGGAAAGTTTTTCAAGTTGGGGCTACTTATGCCTACTGACAGATGGAGGGAAAAGAAGGTGGAAAAGCAAGGATTCCTTAGATTAGGATGCCAAAGGTGCAATCGGGCTGGGAAAACTGGAGCCTGGGAGAGAGAGGAAGCCAGACCTTAGGAATGATCATCCCATCACCTGTGAACAATCCCTCTAACATTTTCGATCTCTACTTCTAATCTGTTTTCCACATATTTGTGTAAAGTGCTTTCATTACACAACTGGTCATCATTTTGCAATGTAATTTTTTTCACTTAGAATTATGTTTTATCATGTTGTTAAACATTAGTTTAAAATCATATTTCAGTGTCTAATGATCCCTTATGTAGATGCTACATTTTCAGGGCTAGCAAAATATATTTTTCAGATTATTCTCTAGAAAAAGCATATCCATTTCTTTCCCGCCAGAGATATATCAGTCTCACTTCACCACACTCTCACAACCTGTGGTATTATCATTTTTTCCATCATTGCCAATTTGACAGGGAAAATAGGGTGTAGAGTTGTAGATTTTAATTTGCATTTATTTGGTTATCTTCAAGGTTAGTCATTTTCATGGGTTTATTAATTATGTATTATTTCTGCTTTAAAATGTTTATGTCCTTTGTCCTCTGTCTACATGATAATTATGCTTTATTAATTTGAAATAACTTTTTAATACCAAAAACAAAAATACCTGCCATCTCGATCATGTTTTTAATTTAAAAAAAATTTCCATGCATAGCCAAACTCTAAATACCATATTGCAGCTATTGTAATGTGATG